GGCGAGGGATGGGAGGTGGATGGTGATGGGCCCCGAGTGGGGTATGGGATGGGATGGGGAAGGGAATGCCCCCAGGGGATGGGGAAGGAAGGGAAGGGGAAAGGGGTATCGGGGATGGGGATGGGATGGGGATGGGGGAGGGGGATGGGGACGGGGAAGGGGACGGGGACGGGGACGGCGGACAGGGAGGAGGTTGGGACGGGGATGTGAGGATGGGGGAGAGGGCGGGACAACGACAAATCCGTTGCACCGCAAGCCCCTGAGTTCATGCCTTCGCTGGCTTCCAGAATCTCGGCGTTCCACCAAGGCTTGGTCAAACAAAGATGCGTACAATTGGGCGGTCGAACAACATATTTACTGCGTGAATGATTTATGACTGATTGGTGAAGGTTTCGAGCCCATCTATTACTATGTGATAGTCTCATTAGTGTAGTGGATTATGCTAATACCTGGAGGTGAGGTGGTCTTTGCCACCCTCGCTGGATTGCGAGAACGTCAAGCCTACACATCGTTCTTGCGACGGTTTCTCCCAATATGTAATCTCTACTCAGAGAGTCCCTTTCCCCATCTGACGAGCTATAAGATTCCGGAAATGTAGTATGTAGTCGTAAGTAGAAAACATTAAGGACCTTCCCGATCAGAGTCGTGGCGATAACAGGGCAATACTTTGCCGTGAGCGTTAACTTCGGTACGGTCTAACACGGATAAAAATTTATAGGGTTTGGGTTCTCTGAGTGATCCCTTTTCATCTTTTTTTCTTCCTCTTTTTCGCCAGACGAAACCGCTTTCAATCCTAAACAACGGCGCGTACATTACATTCATGAATATTTACCCTCTTATAACATAAAACAAAGCTTTAAGAATTGCGACAACTGCAAGATACACAATTTAATATGTAGCCCATCCGTGTGCCTCACATAATGAGGCGGACACAGCGCGGCGTGCGATGACCATCATGAGCCAGAAGTTTCACGCACAAAAAAAGTGACGTAGCGCGTAGGAGGCTGGGAAAGAAACATGAGTATTAACAAACAAGTTACAGGAAGGAATTATTGCACCTCCAGTCTTCCAATCAAGACTTCAAAAACGTCGAGGGATTCTTCCCTTGCTGGTGCGTTAAGCGTTTTTAACTGTGCCGCTTGCAACCTTTCTTATCTTTCCTTTAAATATTTGACGTCCATTTAAAAGAGTTATCATATTCCGTTCACTCCTTATTACGGCGCCTGCCCATCTTTGTTCATTTCGCCAGGTAAACCACGACTACGCGCGTGTTCTGTAGAGCTGTCAATTCGTCATCTTTCTCATTTAACTCGCTGTCTCTTCCACCGTTTCCACCGTGACCAACCACGACTCGAACCCCCTCACTCAGAGCGGGCCACCCAAACACCGAGGCAGGAGAGGGAACAAGCGGCAACCAGCGCCATCCCCAGGGCGGGCAGCGGCGGCGGTTCGCCTGCAGAGCACTACCAATTCCAGCGCCTCCAAGGCGCACCACGCGCAGGTGTGCGGGCGGGCGGAGAACGATCACGGCGACGGAGGGGCAGATGGCGGTGGAGCACACGCGAATGGAGGAGGCAGGTGGTGAAGGAACAGGGTGACTAGGGCCGGCAAGGAGACGAAATTGTTGTGCGGCGAGGTAGAGGGCGAGGGTGGCGAGGGGCGGCGAGGGGCGGCGTGGGGCGGCGACGGGGCCGGCGACGGAGGCGCGAGGGGCGACGATAAGAAGGGCGGACGAGAGGGCGACGAGAGGGCGGCGATGGGTGGTGAGTGGGCGGCGAGGGCGGCTCGAGGGCTCGCGGCTAGGGAGTGGTGAGGAAGTGGCGAGGGCGCGAGGGGTGGCGAGTGGGCGGACACGCGGGCGGCCGAGGGGCGGCGAAGGCGGCGAGGGGCGGCGAGTGTGTGTGTGAGTCGGACGGCGAGCGTGGCTGAGGAGGCGCCGGGAAGAAAACTGTATAGAAGACGGAAGTTGCGGGAGAAGTACGTGGGATGGTACGGGGACGTTGGAGTTGCTGAGCAAGACAGAACAATATGGACGACAATGTCGACTGATACGACAGAGGCGTCAGGGCAGCAATGACGATGAAGGTGACAGCAGAGACAGGCTGCGTGGGGTGAGGCATCTAACAGCTGAGTGACAGACTGATATGCGGGGGAGGCGGAGACAAAAGAAGAAGCGTAGAGTGGCAGAAGCGGTGGGGTGACATGGTGTCTGGCTGTCGAGAAAGGCAGAGAAGTTGTGATGCCACAATTTCGTTTTGGTGGGATTTGAGAAGATAGCGGTGGTAGGGCGGTCGGCAGAAAGTGGGGTCAGTGGAGACAGCAGCATAGCTGATTTGAGAGAGCTCCTGTGACGGGGCGGCGCAGGCACTGGATGCACCAGAGACTGCCAATGCGTCGTGGAAGACCGGACGGCTTCGATGTTGTAACGGTTAGCCTATTGGTCTGCTATACCCTAATGTGCGGATTCAAACCCGATCAAAGTCGTTGATTTTAATGGCGAAAACATTCTTCGTACGCCTTCCTTCGGGAGGGAGAGTAAAGTCGGCTGTCCCATGTTGTAGATTTATTGTTTGTAATAGATTCTCAAACCCAAAAGAAGCCTCTGAGCTAAATTCAAAATCTTCTGTTTCGTCACCCGATGATGCTTTCTTTGCGTAGCGAAATTTTCGTGGTCAGACGGAACAGCAGACCTGATGCCCCGAGTCTCGCCACGTAAGTTAAGGCACCTCTGAATTAAATTTAACTGAAATATGGTGAGAGCCTGGAAGGAGAGACCTTAAAGACTCTAGGGTTGACGAAGCCGCTGGGAGTGGCCATGTTGTCAGGTGACGAGACTGGTGAGGGAGGAGAAGGTGGTCGAGCAAGCCAAAAAAAGCAGTGGTAACGGTCGGCAACATGGACGACCATGGCAGATAGTGTAAGCGAAGAAGTCCGCAGAATCCATAGCTACAAAGATGATGTCCCGAAAGGCGGGTATATCTTGCAATGAGGAGAAGGCGGAGATGATGTAACGAGCAAGGGATGTAGGGTGATCGAGAATGACTGGAACCTCGGCGGCAGCAAAGTAGTTTGGAGATGGAAGGAGGAAGCGAGCGAGAAATTTCGCAGGTGCTGTACTGACGGCAATGGCGACAGGGCTAACGGGAAGCGCTGCGAAGACGGGGGCGGGGCGGCGTAACGTCCGTGGATGGCAATGCCGTCGCCACGCCTCTCCGCTCCTCCCGCGCCGCGCCCTAATGAAGTGGGCAGTAAATACGTCCGGAGTAATACGTGCGGCCAGTGCCGCGGCGGCGTCCGGGCCGCCGCGCGGGCGGTAATGCCGGAAAGTTATAGAATTATGCGCGGCGATCGTGGAGGGCAGATTTGAGGTCGAGTCGCTTCATTAGCAAACACATCACACTGGTTAGCGTATTATCTCATTAGCACTGCGAGGGCGGCTACGGCCGAACGCATGCGGCGGGGCGAGGCGGGGCGGGGGACGAGGGCGATTGGGGCGAGGACGTGCCGAGATTGGCGAGGTAGGAGGTCGCTGCAGTATGGCCGCGAGGACAATGGCTGGACCGTTGCCGAAGGACAGGTCGTGATTTTTCCCATGCGATATATCGTTCGTCGATGTGTTGTCGATATGTTTTTATTCTCTCTATTCAGAGCAATTCAATGATACGAATTCTCTAACAAGCAGTGTTCAGTTTTATATTATGTTATAAATTGACACAATTCTAATCGCTACAACGAAATATATTTGTAATGCGTGCGTACTAGCAAAATAGATATTGACGAGAACGAATGTTGTGTTCGAGTAAATGTCTGTGTTGGTAACGCATTGCAAGTAGTATCTGTATACATTGCATTATTTCTAATTGTACCACACTTTATTAAATTGCTTAAACATGAATATAATTTTAACGGTGATACTGTACTTTCAGCCACGTATTCATGCTTTGTCAACAAACGTTGACGTTACTGAGATATATAAAATTCGAGAAAGAAAAGAAAAAGGGTATGCTTAATAAAACAATATTTGTCAGTAAAAACACTCTGCAGTCACATAAATAAAAATGCACTCTTTACGTACTTCCACTAGTCGACTGAACGAATTAAATGATTTCTTGGTACATCGGTAGACCATGACCAAACTTAAGGACTAATATCGCCACGATGGTTGGTTGTGGAGATACTCAGAAAAAAGTCTACACAGCAAATCTGTTTTCTTCTTATACTTCCGAAGTAGTGCTTAGATTTAAATATAATTACCAGCAAAAAGTGTTGAGAAAGATTACACGTGATCCCATTTAAACAGAGAACGCCTGAAACATAATAGTTGCGTCCTTTTTACTTAAATACTGTACTGGACATATCGCTGAACGTTGGTTGTAGTTGGCTACTTCTATGGATTTAAATTCCTCGTTCCAGCAAATAGAGAGCGAGCTGTGGTTGTTACCCAACAGATGTAATTACCAAGAATAATAAATATGTTTTAGAATGCGATGGAAAATATTCAGTTAATATGTTAAAGAGAATATGTGCCTGAATTTAAAATTTAATAATTTTTCAAAACTGTAAAACAACGAAATATAAATATTGATAAACAATCAAATAAAGCAATCATGTTAGCTTGAAAGTTTGCTTTAGGCTCACGATAAATAGTAAATAAAGCATTTAGGTTTCCTCGTGGAAAACTGATCAAAACTGTTTGATAGAAGAGTCATAAATAATTCTCTACTCGCTACTGCTGATAAATTATTCTCTAAATCATCCTTTTCACACCACACCATCTACTCAATGTCGGCAGTTTACACAAACATCATGGAAAACACTGATCAAAGGGAAATAACATCAGAAAAAATCCAAATCGACATAATTAAGAATCATTAAAAATTGAAGCCATATACGCGTTCACTGTTAATTATAACAAAAACACTGTCCGTATTAATATTTATTTTGATTTGACGTTGCTTTCCACTTTTATGAATAACCGATGTGTGTTAAAATTTAAACGATTCTGAAAATGACAATAATCAAGAGGATGCAGTTAAACTGACAGCTGATTTCAGTGACAACGGTGGTGTCAACTGCAAGGATAGCCGCTGTGTGTGTGTTTTTTTAGTGGTGAAAAATGAGTTGCGGGAGGAAATGGGCTGAAAGCGCATTATGGATTATCCGAGAGGCGTAAAAAATGCTACGATATCGAGCACATAATTGTAACGCACGTTATGTTAATACGAAGCAAAGAGATGGATTTCATAAATTGTAATACCAGATTTAGAACAGCATTACCAACACAATGTTCAAAATATATGATATAATCTTAGTAATAGAAAAGTGCCAGAGTATTTGTTAATTAAATAGCGATTTTAATTTTAAATATTTTAACAACGAAATGTTTTGTTATAGAAATAGATTTATACATGAATTTATACTTAGAACTTGTCACACTTGTCAGAACTTGCAAAATCTGCATACACAAATAGATTAAAATATTATTTTGCAATGAAAATTTAAATTTTTCTGACACGAGGTTTGTAATACTGAAGAAATACTTACACAAACGCTTTTGGTTCTCTGTTAACTCTCAACGGCAAGACCGGAATATTAATTACGCGTAGTAGCAATAGCAAAGACTAATGGTTCACATGTGTGACATAATTACGGAATTGTAAAAATAAGCCTTTTATAATAATTAATTTGAATAAGTTTCTCTTGATCTTATGAAACCAATCCTCCTCGAAAAGAGACATTGCCAAATAGATGAATGAGTTGGTATTTCATTATGTATGTAAATCTCTCGAGAATGTCTATTTTGACCGTCTCTTGTTTTATAGTATGGAGAAAGTACCCAATGTATTATAGAAAGTCCAGTTTTGAATATGGGTTAAATTTTGTTTAAAAAACCATTACGCACTAATAATGAAAAAAGAGTAAGGTATTTTATGGCAACAATGTGTGACATTTCACAAAATTGTAATTGCTATCATCAGGTAAAAAACTTAAATAAAAGGAATTGTAAACTCTTCCTACCTTGCTACTTCGATCTTCAACTGATTTATTTTTATATGCATGTAAAGAGCTTTATTTTGTTTACTTTATGTTTTTAACGTTTCGTATCTGATTATGCGAAAGTATAATTTCCCGAAAAGTTGTACACTGTTGTCATAAAATGCTTTACTGTTTCTCTAATTACAAATGCTGAATGTTCTATCAAACAAATTTTAACCCATACTCCAAACTGTACCTATTACTGTTTATTGAGTTCTTTCTCCATATTTACAGAAATGTTCCAAAATTTCAAAACAAATGTGCTAGGAAACAGTATTTTCGTGAAAAAAGGAATTCTAACAGAAGTAAAAATCACAAGCTGTATTGTGAAACCTTTCAGGCAGGAAATTACTTATAAGAACATGTATTGTTTTGTTAAATAAAATATGTGGTACACATGAAGATATTGTGATAGAGGTTTAATCGAGCAGTTAATGATAGTCACAGAATACCACGTGCGTTTTATGCATTACTAATTTTCAAAGGATATAGAAACTGAAATAAAACTGTCGAGTCCTTAGCCAAATTACAGGGGTCTATGGTTTTGAAAATACACAGTAAACTGAGAAAAAACAAAAAAACAGCGCTTTTTGATTGGACTGAAAAATGCAACTGTATTTGATTGTTTTATTCCGCCTACTCTCATACGGCGCATTTCGACAGAATTATTATAATCAGTCCGCTACTGCTTACGACATAGCTGACGTCAAACGACAGCAAGACTCCAAGGAATAGTTCGCTTGCCATTACATACGAGTATTTGCTATTGATGTTTTGCGTGATGAAACTTCAACATTTTTTTAATATTTCCGGTATAATATGAACTGTATTAACACTACTCTATATTAACGCAGTATTCGTAAAGCCTATTTTTGTTAAAATAGGTGTTTTTATTTTTTGCAGTGTTGTACAAGAGTATGTTATTTGTTATTCCAGATTCGTCCTACTTTTGGGAAAACCATTTTGTGTGGTTTCGTTCAGCAGAATTTGTGTTCATGCAGGCCACCAGTTGAAAAGAATATAAGAGCATGCTAAAAGAGCATAAAATACATGAGAAAATAGACATATCCACGTACGTGACCCATTCGTATCATTTTAAATAATATCATAACAGCCTGATAATTTCAAACGTTTCAATTTTAATATTGTGCATTAAATGGTTATCTTAAAATTATTATCAAAATTTGATACAACACATCAGAACACGCTGATGACATACAAACTGGATAAAGTAAAACGTAAAATGTTAGAGCAAGGTTAATAATAGGTCTCTGAACACTAGTGTGTTCAAGTTCATGAAAGAAGGAATCTGTACTTGAATTTCAATTCTTACATTAATTTTACTGGTCAATGAATATATTTTTTACGAAATATTAATATTGTAAACAAATGAAAAATAGTTAAATTATTTCTATTTTAATGCATTTTTATAAATCTTAATATTTTTTATTTGAATATGGTTCTCATTTTACATTATCTGTTTTTGAGTAATGTTTATCGTAGATAATTACAAATCGATAATATGATTGCATGAATAACAAATTGCAATATTAAAAAAAATATGTATTTTAGTCTGTTTAATTTGGTGAATTAAAACCAATATTAAAACAGTGGAACAGACATTAATAATAACAGGCACAAAACCTGTTTTAACGTATTTTTTCTTAAGAAAGAAAATGAATTTTACAATAGTTTCAAATCTGATTTGGATTCCAGTAAAATTACGTTTGTACTTTCATCGAAAAGGATTGAATGCACATTCGTTTCCCAAAATGCGAATTATTGACCTTATGTTTATTTTGTCTTCTTTGTGAACACCTTTTCCAAAATCTTTGAGAAAAGATAAATAATTCCTTTCGCATGATATGTGTGTATGCGTAATCAAAATTCTAATAGTGAATCTACAATTTGTTTTTATTCTTGAAAAGGGATTTACGATCTATTTATTTTCTACTTACCTTATTGAAAGACCTACTAATTGAAAGAGAACATTTTCTAGGGGGAGAACATGGAGGGATCGGGAGAACAGCATCTACGCACTCGATAATTATGTCTCATCCCCCTCTTAATTCACTTAAAAAATCCTACCTTCCCCCATGGCAATGCATCTTCAAGAACAGAGTCGCGCTAACGGGGCAAGACGCAGGGTGCATGGCTTGAGTAGAAGTGCAGGGCGAAACTGGTGATGCGAGAGTGGTTGTGCAGACGGGGGTGGGGCGCGAGACGAAGAGAGCGATTTCAGCTCCTGTAGCGCGGCCGTGGGTCGGGGGAGGGGGCAGGCCTTAATTAAAACAGGCGAACCACGGGTCTTCATTACGCCGCCGTAACATCCATGTGAATTTCAAATTAATATGGCTCTATCGAGGGAACAAAAGCAATATGCCACCAACTAGGAAAGTGCCCGATATATCGCACTATCCATGTACTCGCGTAGCCTTACTTCATAACTCATTGAAATTCAAAATAGAGACGAGGTTCTTTTGCTTTTCTTGAGTAATGGCGTCTATAAACCAGCAGTTTCAGACTAATTGGGCGAGACAGCTTTTTTTTGCACAGATTCCACGACTTGGACAAACATCAGAAATTTGAATATACTACTAGAAGTTCGGTGAATAAATTCCTCTATCTGCCGCATCGCTGGCACGGACCTGTGATTACGGAGATTTCATCGAAATCAACTTTTTCAACGATGGAGATTGAAAGGATGAAATTAGCACTGTAGCTCCGCGATTTGGAAGGGAAAATCGCCATTTCGACTGTCATAAATTTACTTCCACGAGTTTTAAAATGAATCAATCAGGGATCCATTGATTAGGTGTGGAGGCTACTTTCAATTTGCAGACCTCGGCGCGTGTGTAAACTCTCCGGTTCAGAACGATTTACTCTCGGCTGCATACTCCCCCCCTCTTCTCGCTTTTTTTATTCCGAAGTTCAAATAAAAACACAGTGGCTCGAAAACCAAATAAGCAGTTTAAAGATGCGGACGGGCGATAATATCCGCGGTAATATCCTGAGACTTCGGAGATGTAACAGAGTATCGAGCTGTTATACCCACGTTTGTGGGTTCAAACCAGTGGGTTATTAAGGGTGAAAAAATCCTTCGTATGCCTTCCTTCGGAGGGGAAGTAAAACCGGCTGTCCCATGTGGTAGATTTACTGTATGTAAAAGATACCCAATCTAAAATGAAGCCTCCGAGCCAAATTGAAATCGCCTGTTACGTTGCCCGGGTGATACTTTCTTTCTCTGCCAGACGATAAAAGAAGCATAACGAAATTAACGTGGCCAGGCGGAAGAGCAGTGCTCAGTCATTATCATACTCACGCCACAAAAAATAAGGCATTAATTCAATTCAATCATTTAATTAAATTAATTGCAAAACAGGATAACTAGAAAAGAATTGCCGCATTCAGTAAAGAAAAACATTAGCATTACTGTGGAAATATGTAATTATTACAAATTTATGATAGTTTTCATTACAAAACATGTTTGTATGTTTGTCAATACATTTTTATAAAAACTCAAAAAAAAACGCACGAAAATACGAGATATTAAAATGCAAAACACCTGCAAAATTGCAAACCATAAAATTTGACTGAAACCAGTACGTAAAAGACAGAGAACATTGGACTGCATTTGAGATTAAATAAAATTCGCCCACGAAAAACAAGTACGACGTATAAAGCCCGAAATTACGCCCCCTCAACATTGAAGCAATGCGCTTATAAGACCAAAAAAGTCTGCACATTAATGAGCAAACGTATTAACCAGTCTTGTTTTTCGCCATCAAGTGGAACCGCTCACCTCAAGCCACGAGAAACAAGTGGCGTAATCGAATGCCGGTGGAGATTTCGCGGCAGCATCCGGACCGCGCATCGCGTTGCATCGCACACAACGCTTCACCGCCTGCGAAGAGCCTTTATTTAATTTCGGGCGAATTACTTTTTGTAATATCGTAATGAATCCAATAAATTAACGGCGCCCTCTCCTCCCTTCCCCTCCGCAGCAGCCCGCTCCGCACGGTCTCGCCGCGTGAACGTCTCTCTAATCTACCGCTCGGCGATACTTTAAATATTCCGGTTTAATAAACGTGACTCACGAGCGCGCTAGGGGCGGCGGGGCGTGCGACGTTGGCCGGAAGAAGCGGCAAGGGTGAGGGGAGGGGCCTCCAGGTCAGGCGAGGGGAAGGGGATGGGGCAGGGGTGACCTGTGGAAGTGATGGGTGGTGGGAGTGGTATTGGTGGTAACGGTGGGGGTGTTAGTGGAGATAGTGGTTAGAAGCGGGGCTGCTTTGGTGGGGGTGGAGGGTGTGATGGAGATAAACGTGATGGTGGTTATAATGGAGGTTTGGTAGCGGTGGTGATAGTGGTGGTGGTGGTGGTGATGGTGGTAATACTAGTAGTGGTGGTGATGGTGGTTGG